TCATTCTCTATTAGTAAGGCCGTGTCCTATAGTTGGACTTATTTTTGTTACTTATTTTTGTTTAGCGTAGAACAGCTTTTGAACTAGCGGTTATTTTTTTGTTTTTGTTTTTACATAATAGGCAATTTGGAGAGAAAAATATTATTAAGATTAGCAATATATAATATATATATACCTAAAATAAATTATTTGTTATTTGATATTCAATCCGAATTCGAACATTCGAATCAAATACTAATAAAAATATATATTATTTATCGAATATTTTTTTTCATTATTTGTTAATTCATATAATTTAAAATTATTCAAAATTGTTATAAATATTCAAAATTATTCCTGACATTCAAAATTATTCGTAATTATTTTAAATTATTAGTAATTAATTAACCTGTTCCTTGCGGATCTTTTTATTTTTTGTACTTTATTTCCACATCTATATATCACTTTTTTACATTTTAATATTTCATTTTTTTTAAAAAATTTTTTAAAGAATTTAATTTCTAATCTAAAGGTTTTTGTTTTAGTTTTTATCATTTATCTGAATAAGGAAATATTCAATTCGAAAATACTAATCGAATACGAATAATCCAATAATTCGTTTAATATTTTTGTAGACACATATATATTATGTTAACGTCAAAGGGTTTTTTTGGGCAATGTGATATTTTTAAACTTTAAATCATTTTTTTGAGCGCGTTTTTTTGAATTTATGGATCTGATTCAGCATGTTTAGAATGCCTATCTTGTGAATTATAGACAATTTTGCTGTAAACCTTTGAGTCATTTGTAATTTATATAAAAAAAACTATGGAAAAACTAAATTATATTTAGTTTAAAGGTTCGTAGAAAAATTGTCTGAAACTCATGTCATAGCATAGGTATTTACAAGATAGAATACATTTCCAGTAAATAAGATTTTTAAATTTAAAAAAAACGTGCTCAAAAAAATGATATAAAGTTGAAAAAATAACACATTCCGGAAAAAACACATTGACGCTAACATATATGTAATATTCTGCAATTTTATTATTATAATTTCAAGAATCTGATTTTTAGTTTCACATGAACTTTCATGTTTCTTGACATGTATGAAACAATAACTCCTTTCAATGCTCGATTCTTCTATTTCTCTAATATGACTCATGAGTTTATAATGATGATAGATTTATTACACAGACTGCTCAACACCCAAGTGTATAATGTTATATAAACTTCATTCATTTCACAGCCATTTGTAAAATAGCATATTTATATTATCTCATGATCTTAATAAAGAAAATTTTTGCTAAACATTTTTATAAATAAATCAAAAATAAGTTAAATCTGAATATTATAATATATAAAATAATATAATTTAAATTTAATATTATTATTTTTTAACATACATATTTTTTTTGATTTACAGACATAATGTTAATATCGCTGACTTCTTTTTTCTATTATTTCTATTCCTAATCACTTTATTATTATATATCAAAATGATTATTACATTTTTGTGATTATCTTGGTTTACAATTTACAATAAAGTTATTAGACCAATGTAGTTAAAATATAACTTTTTGAACTAAATAAATTTCATGTCTCTGCATTGCACATTTTTCTAAAGAATCTTTTATCTAATGTTGTTAAATGCTCAATTTAAGCTGTTTTTTAAAACGACGCTCAATATATTAGCCAGAAAGATTTTGCATAAGCTATGAGATTTCGCTAAAAGATGTCCAAATGTTTGTTCCAATGTACATAATAAGTATTTATTTATGTAATATATCAATACTAAAACGTATGGAAAAAAGAAGGGTGACCAGGTGAGCAGCATCTACATGACAAGATTCAAGATTTTCATTGGATGCCTAATCCCTCAAAATAATGCCTACCCCCCCCCCCATCCCCTAAAAAAATCCAGCATTCCCACATTATTAATTTTGCCCTTTTAATTGTAATGGTAGTCCCTTCATGAATTTTAAAAAGAATAACTTAAATTATTTGAGCTCTACTTACTACTAACTATCAAAATTTAGTTATAAAATAGTCATTTTTTAGATCATGAATTCAATATAAAACCCACTAATTTACAATGAATGCATTATTATAGTATTGGCATGAACATGAGTTTGCTGAGAATGCAGTGGCGTAGCCAGGATTAATCCATGGAGGGGGGGAGGGGGGGTTGGAAAATTTTTAGGGGCTTCGCCCCCAAACCCTCTTTTTAGAATTAAAATTTTTGCCAAATTTATAATTAATAAGCGACTGAAAGCATAATTTTGAAAATGTTATCAATGTTTAGTAAATTGTATATTAATTCAATCTATTCGATGTAAAAAAAATTTGCCTCCCCCCAAACCTTCCAATTTTATGATCAACTCAATATATCTTATTCTATGTTAAAAATAATTATTTTAATTAAATTTTTGCATATAACAATATTTTGCAGAGATTTTATTTATTATTAACTTTATTTATTTAACTATGTTTTTATTTTAATAATATATAAAAAAATAAATTTCAAAATATATAAATTTTATACAGATTATTATATTAAAAATTGAATGTAAATAAACTATATTTTAAAAAAATAAAATTGCAATAAAATATGTAATTCTTGCTAAAAAAATACAATTTAACAATTTTATTTAGTATAAACCCTTTATTTAACTATGTGTTTATTTTATATACAAAAAATAAATTTCAAAATTAGAAATTTTATACAGATTACTATTTTAAAAATTGATTGTAAATATCTATATTTTAAAAAAATAAAATTACAATAAAATATAAGTAATTCTTGTATGCAATTTAAAAAAATATAATTTAACAGTTATATTTAATACAAATGAGTATATTATATAAATAATTCTTATTGTAGGTGCAATACTATTATTAAATATAGTATAAAAATATCATGACTAAAAATTCATTATAATTAAGTTTTACATATAAAAATTTTATGACTAAGAAAATATTACAATTATATGATTTGAATTTATAAAGAGAGGTCTACTTTTCTCTGAGATTTGGCTAATTCATCTAGAATCAAATTTTTATCTAGAATAATCTCCTTATAAATATTTAATAGGGCTAATCCATTTAAACGGTTTTCACCGGTGCTATTTCTTAAATAGGTTTTTAACCTTTTCAAAGTTGAAAAAGACCTTTCATTAGTGCAGGTACTAATCGGTAAAGTAGCTAAAATAAAAAACAATGTTTTGATATTGGGCAGGGAATCTAAAGTGCAATTACACATGGAAAGGGCCTGCAAAGCATTTTTTGGTCTCAAAGAGTATTCTATTCTGCCAAGATTTTTATACCAAAATTCGACATCACAAAGTAACTTATCATACGACCCTAATAAATCATCAGAATAAAACTCTGAGATGTTCTTAATATCCTCTCGCGTTTCAAGTGTAATCAACAATTCAGACTCAACCGGCAAAAGAAAATAAAAGCTTTTTAAAATAAAATTGTGACTTATAAATCTTTCCTTTAATTGAAATAAAAATGTATCAATAAGTGGAATAAAAATGTTAATTTTATAAAAATCCTCAATCGTAGATGCATCAATATTTGAGCGATTGGATTGTCTAGAAACTACTCTAGGTTTAAAAATTTCAATCCCAAACATATTAGCGATCTCCTTTACTTTCTCATATATTTCTTGAAATTTTTCATCCACATTATCTCTGATATTTGTTAATATTTCAACAATATCCTTTGCCTTATATATAACCTCCCTTAAATCCAAATCAATTTTTTGTAACATTTTGCTAAAATCATATGTATAATTAAATAAAAAATAAACACATTGAATTGAAATTAAAAATTGAGGCTTCGTAATAGCCTGTAAAAGATTTTCCGCATTTGCGGAATCTTTTTCTTTGCGTAATATGTATGATTCCAGTGCCGCAAAAATAACCTCATATAACTCGATGAAAACCTTCACCGATTGTTGTCTTTCAATGAATCTTGTGGGACAAAATCTTTTGAATTTTTTTTGAATTTTTTGAATCAATTTCATCGAACGTTTGGGTAAAAATCTCCCTCTTCTTGGGTGGGGTAAAGAAGTCACAAACCGACGATATTGTTTCTAAATTTTGAAAAATATATAAAAATTATATAAAGATATCTATAATACATAATAAAATCTAATAAATTTCAATTAAATCAAAATCTTTTTACGTAAACTGTTCCGGATGTCTCTAATTTCACATGCCTCAGTTATCATCAAATTCAGGCAATGTGAACTGCAGTGAACATAAAGAGCTGTGCTATAAAGCTCTCTAATTCTTGACTGGACCCCTTTAACATGGCCACTCATCGAGGGAGCTCCATCGTACCCTTGGCCTCTCAGTAGATTTAAATTTAAATCCAGGTTTTGAAGTGATTTAATAATTTGATTAGCAATCGTTTCTGACTTAATGTCAGTTAATTCAATAAATTGAACAAATAGTTCCTTCATTTTATAATTACCTGATTCCATATCAATAAACCTTATTGCTATGGATAGTTGTTCAATATTACCAATATCGGAAGTTACATCCGCCAAAACACTAAAAAATGGTGATGCTTTGACTTTTGAAGAAACTTCCTTTAATATAAACTGATTGCATATTGATATTATTTCATTTTGAATAGTGGGACTTAGGTAAGTAGCATTTTTAGAGGAGCTTTCAAAAAGCTTTAGGTAGTTGTCATTATTATTACATAAAAATTTCAATAATTCCTTGAAATTTCCTTCATTGTGAGAAGGGGATGTAAGTGTTAGGGGGCCAGGAGATATCCTATGAGCTCTTAACGCCAAGCCCTGCCTCCCTAACCAAATGACAGCATCAATAATTATAATTATTCTTGATCGATTTTTTGTAACAATATCAAAATTTTTTTTATTCAATACATTGGATATTGATATCTTTTGATTCATTGAGATTTCTTTTAAAGAATCCATTATCTCATAGGAATTAAGATGATATTTATTTTTTTGATGATAATTAAAATTTTCGAGCGCATCTTTCCATCTTATGTACACCTGACTTACCAATGTTTTGAGTTTTTGTAACCCATTTCCAGCATATCTTGGGGAAAATATGACGCAAACTTTACAAAATGCGCCCTTTTCATCGGCTGAGTAAGCAAGCCACTTATATTTGTTAAGCCAGGATGCTTGAAAGGTTAAATTTCTTTTGCCCAAGGGCAATGGAAATTTATAACATTTGTCAGGTATCCAAATATTTTCAACAGCTAACAATTTTTCATTATCATTTTTAAAATGAAAATTTAAGTAAAGTGAAACATCTTTTTGAGAACGGTGTGGTGTTTCTATATTTTTTTTTAGATTTTAAATGATATATTTCAATATGAATTTCAATGTTAAGAGCTGAGCAGCACAAGAAAAAAATCTGGATTATAAAAAATGTATCTCAGATAGATATCAAAGTTTCTTAATAAAAATTTAAAGACAGATACAAGTAGAAGGAAATTACTATAGAATATCATTATCAATTTTAATTAATATTTTTATATTTGTAGGATGATTTACACTCATGGAAGTGAAGAAGGTAGTAATATTTAAATTATGAAAATAAGTTCCTAAATATTATAAGCTGCCCAAGATTGTATATACAAAAGATTTTAAGAAAATAATTATGTTCTTCACAAATAAATAATAAAAACTGTATATTATAAACTATTCTAGTTTAATTGGTAATGATAAATCATCTGTATCTAAGATTCATTTTTTCACAACAAATCTGTATCTAGATTATTTTTCTGGAGGGCCTGCCCAACTCTGTTTGTATTGTAGATACAAGTTTTCAATACTGCTCAACTCTGTTTGACTTATAATGTACTACCTTTTGCAAAATAACACAAAAAAATGACTAACTTTAAAATTATAACTAAATATCGTACATTGCAAAATTTTAATAACTCAAAATGAAAATAGTATAATTTACAAATAAAAAAATGGAATTAAAATAAATACTATACCATCATTTGATGATTTTCCAGCCAAATCAACTGATAGCTCACATGCTTTTGTAACACATAATGTTTCTATTTTTAATTAAAAAATATTAGAAATTATAAATAATTTAGAATATATACCATCATTTGATGATTTTGTAGCTAACTCATCATTGGTTTTCCCATGGAGATGGAGTGGTAATGGTATGTCTGGTATTTCTAATTGCAAGATTTAAATAAAACATATTGATAATACCATTACCTTCGAACTCAACTGATGGCTGATTTTCACTAGCAACATCCATATATATTTCTAATTCAAATTACATAACTTAAATTTTATAAATAAATTAATATATACCTTTTTTTTTTGTTGTTGACAAAAAAATTTACGGATATCCATATTTAAAAATTATAAAAACTTAAAATTTACAAACAAAACAAACTATCTAAATAGTTTAAATTTAAAAATATATATTTAATAATTAAATTTATAAATATCTAATTTAACTATGCCAAGCCAGAAAATATTTACAAAATATCTTTATTGTTATTTAATATTCTAATTTAACTATGCCAGAAATTATTTACAAATACAATATATCTTTATTCTTATTGTTGTTTAATATTTTAGTTCATATAATTTATATATATTTTTAAACGATGTGATCATTTAAAATTAAAACTCCTTTTTTTATAAATATATTTCATTGTGATATTCATATTCATATAGTATTATATATAATATATTATCTTATTTCTCTAAATTGAAACCGTTTTTTAAATATAATTATTCGCAATAAAAAATAATAATTTTTTATTTTATAAAAAAAAAAAAAATTAAAAAAAAAACATTTTTTAAAAAAAAAAATTTTTTTTCCATGGGGGGGGGGGGGTTTCGACCCCAAAACCACCCCTTGTCTAAGCCACTGTTAGAATGTCTAACCTTTTTAATTAAAAAGAATAGCAGAAAGTTTTATTTGGAAAGTAATATCTGAATGTTTGTAATATATTGATTTGGTCGATTATTAGCAATATCATTTTATTATAATAGGCCTATAATCAAAGTATTAATTATTACAGCAATATATTTTGCCCAATTACATTTAAAAACTTAATAGATAACCCCAAAATATTTATTACCCCAAAAAATTTGGATGCATACTGTTCCTAATTCACCTCCCCCTACCCCGCTCATGTAAATGCTACAGGTGGGGTGTAATAAATATATTAAGCTATCAAAAGATCAAGACAAAATAGAAGAATTTTGTGTTGTAAATTTTTTTAAATGATTTGAGTTTTATACCCAAGTATGCTATCATTAAAAAGGTTCAGCAAAGTAATTGTCCAACTCCAAACTTAGGCTTGGAGCTATGATTATCGAGTTGTATCTTTCTACTTGATTAATGCTATTTTTCATTTATAATTTTTAACTATATGTTGCTATGCAGTCAATGACATATGTCATTGTATGCAGTGCACCACAAATAAAAATGAGAAATTTCCCTTGTGGTATAAAATTAAAAATATGAATTTTCAAAATTATATCAAGAGTCTCTATAATAACCCTTTCCATTATCTAAGTCTTGGCTATTTTGCGAAATCACCTTCTAAAATTGTTATATCTCCTGCCCAAACACACTATTTTGGTTCTCCTAGCCATACCTTTTTGGTTATAGGGGCTGTATCAGGAGCTTTGGCACATGTATTAGCAGCATATGGGGCACATAGTAAATATATTATATTCTTAATTTATTGCTAATAAATTTAGAAATACACAATGAAGCAATTAGCGATGATTTAAAACAAGTGGCTAATAAGATTATAAATAATTTTTAACAATTTTTATAGATATATGATACTGCAAATAAGTTTCATTTCTACAGTTCTTTATCATTAATGATAGTTCCTTTGTCACGAAAACCTTTAATAGTAATTAATCTTTAGTCATCCAATGTTGAATATATGTACATTAGACTGGAACTCTATTAGTTTTAGGCATGATTGGATTCTCTGGGAGCTGTTATTATTACACATTAACAAAATCTCAAACTCGGTCTATGATAACGCCAATTGGGGCAATGCTGACTACACTTGGTTGGCTCTCATTTGCATTATGTTAAATTTTCTATTTAAACCCATTATATTTGATGCTTTACAATCTGTATAATTAATCATTCATGATAATTTTATAAATTCTACAAATAAAAGTTTATCTAATATTCTAACAATAGTCTATGAAGTCTATTCTTTAGATTATGAAAGAAATTATATTTTTAAATACTTAAAACACATGAAAACATAGGAATAAAGCCTCTGTAGAAACATTACTATAATATGCCATCATTATTCATGTATATTGATATATAAATCTAAAGACCATTTTGATTTTGTAGATGTCTGATCATCATCTATTCAGTTTATAAACACTGATAGATATCTAGTTGATATTGGTTGGGAGATAATTAAGTTGATATTCACCAATCATAGATATCAAATTTATACTTGCCCTAAACCTAAAATCTGTAATATCTCATATATGAATATAAGTAAACAAAATGAATTATAATAACCATATTTTTTAAAAAAAATAATGGGGGATTTCTTACTTCACTGACTTCTGGGGGCTAAAAAGCTTGATTACATCATATAATTTTCTTTTAAAATGAAGTAAACTCAAATAATGTTAAACTTTAATTAATGATTATTGAATAAAAAAAATTTTTTTTGGGGGGGGGGGGGGTTGGGGGGCTGTTTATATTGCTTTATTATATTTTCATAATTGATATCTTGGCTAAAAGGGGGTTTGCGGTTGGATCCCTCAATAGAAAATATGATAGGCATAAACTAAGGCTGTCTTATTTGATTTTTTTTTCACTGTTAAATATATAAAATATTTTATAAAACTAATATGACAGCAATTCAAATTTAATTAGAAAATTACCTGTTAATATTATTATTTTTATTTCAATCTCTTGGATTTAAAAAAAAAAATGTATTTAAGAATGAAATCAGTTCAATTTCTATAGGCTCAATCTTTGGGATTTTGTTCCCAAAATGATTTTTGCAAAAATAAAACATGATGCATTTCTCATTTTGAGTCTGTTTTAACTTGGTATGGGAGGTTGTGTTGCTTGGTTTACCCATTTTTAAAAAATATTCTTACAAATGAAACCTTGATTAAGATAGATTTTGCAAATGCTTTTAATATTCTATCTCCAGATATTCTTTCTTAAACCTTTCCCACCTTACTTTTTTTCCTCGATGAAAATTTTTTTTTTAAGATATATTTATTATAAACTAAATAACACGTTTTCATCAAAAAAACTTATTTTGAGTATTTCTATCAAAAGATATTCAATGATTCTAATTGTCATCAATGGGCAAAATGCAATTTAAAAAATATTTTATTTCATATGAAATGACAAATAACAATTTTTTTATTATTTAATTATAAATAAATATTACATTTTTAGCAAATCATTCTTGAATAGGCTTCTACGAAATGCTTGCACCTTTGCTTAATAGTTACAGGCATTGGGAAATGAATTACTTGGTCATATCTTATATCCAATCTGGGGGTAATATTGATAGCTTTTCTTCTTTTTACAACTACACTGGAAAACGGTTTTGTTGTCATGCCACTTGCAGATAATAATACCATTCTTTTTGCTCTTGTAATCTATAATGCCTCTTCCTCTTTTTTTAAGGCCTTAACATTTTTATGTGTGCACCCTGATAAGTTATTTGATCTTACCGTTCCGGATAAATATCCCTTTTTTTAAGAATCAAATATAATTGGTATGAAGAGTAAAAATTATCCATATATAATTTGTGGTTTTTATTTGAAGGTATCATTTCCAACAGGCTAAGAATGATATCCCCAGCCCCACTAGTATTTAAACATGATTTTATGATATTAGTTGACTTTCCCTAGTATATTTTAAAATCATACATAATCCTGGAAAACCACGGTAATGCTTTTATCCCCCATTTATTGGGCTTCGACTTAATGTATTGTCGTAATATAGAACGTCCCTTGAAGGGAATTATGAATTCGTCTATAGCTAGCTTCTCTTCAAATGAATTTTTTTTAGTTGGAATATGAATGGTTGAATTTTGAATAATTTGTTGTATCTTTTATCTTCCGTATCCCAATAAATTTTTCAATTTCATCGCTATCTTTATTTATAGATTTACCACAACATTGGAAAGAATATATTTATTTCCGTTACAAAATTAATTTATGAAAATAGGATATAGGAGTTAAATCCTGTTTAGATATTTCTAATATAGGAATAAACTATGTTTCCTATGCCTTTCTTAGACCAAAAAGAGTTATTTTTTATTTTAGTTATAGTAATATCTTTGATTATATCCTCCAATTCAAGACCTAGTTCATTTGTAATATAAGATGATGTCGGCAAATCATCTGCCAGCAAAGGATAATAATTTTCTTTGTCTGAGCCCTAGGTTTCAGCCTCAGATATATCACCCTCGGAGATAAGTGTAGTCATATCTCGATCATGTTATTTATTTTAATGTTTATTAGAATCTCTCCCTATATACAAAAAAACCACTAATAGATATTGATAATCAGTATATGTAAGTATTATATAAATCTAATCTATTTATCCCACCCCTTCCCGTTTCTATAACCTTAAATCTTAATATCTAAAATAATTTGCCTAAAATTTCCATTTATTGATAAAATATATTTTATTGCATAAGAAATGACCATTGATGACAAATGGCATTATGCTTAATTTGCAGCACCTAAAATGTTTACTTATATTTTTAGCAAGATTTGATAACCAGAAATATGAATTAAAATTTTGGCATGAAAAATTTATTTTTATAACTATAATGATATAATACGTGATATATATCGCTTTTGCCCTCTAGCCTTGAAAGTTCAACAGAGCTATGCTAGGTTTATCTCATTTCCATCTAATTAGAAAAATTTAATTTGGGTGTAAAAGTAAAGATATGAAGAGCCCTCCACATTTGTCGGCAAGCCGCACGTACTTGTTGAAAAAAGCAAGTTAATGATAAAATACGAAACAGCAAATATTACAAATTAAAAATATGATTTCAAACGTTATTAGTGGTCATTTTAATGCATAAAATATTGAAAAATTAATTCCAAAAGTTATCCATGGGCGCGAAAGAGTTAATTTCTTGAGCACTCTTTTCCACAGATATAGCAGATTTTTTCACTCTTTTCATCAATATCTTTCCACATAATTTGATTCTTATATTCTTTCCATAAAAGGGATTTAGGGTTATTTTGATCAATTTTATTTTGCCACGAAATCACGATATCTTCAATGCCTCAGGCCCTCTTTTTCCTGGTATATATCCATTGAGATAAATAAAGCGATTGATTCTCAATCAAAGCAAATCTGCATTCACCCAACGAAACTGTTGCAAACTTAACACCTGCTATTATTATATCATTAATGAAGATCAACTAATGTAATTAAAGTCCCCAGTTGGAAGCAAAAAAGTAGTTTTCACATTCAACTCTTTGCAAGTTTGGTGATATCTTGCTCCCACTTTCCTCTCATAAATCGTTGAAAACATTTTTACACCATACTTTGTTTGCTCTCCGGACTACCACCGTTTTTAAATAAACATTTACGAATTTAGAATCAAGTCACTTGTTAAAGAAATCTATATCTTAAGGTTTGAAAATTGTTTGAGCCCCTCAAAGCTCCCTCTTTTAACCTTAACAACTTTTATCTCAAGCTGTAATTAACCAAACCTATTGTTAATGCCCACGATATCATGGATGTTTCGTCTAACTCCGAGACATTCGCTTTGTGGAGATCTCGGATCCATAATAATCCTCCTTTACCAGCCACTTTCAAACACAAAATGGGGCATCCTTATCCTTGGCATTGCTGTCAATTAATTTTCGCTATAACCATAGACAAAACATCATTCCCAAAGAGCCAGTATAAATATTTAAAAGAAATATATTACCTTAATTGTTTGCTTTTAGTGTCTTTTTCCTTACTTATTTTATTAAGGTTTATTTTGTTAATTTTTTATATGTATATTATATATATAATAAGGGTTGTCAGGTAAAAATTATTCGATTTTCATTAAAGAAAAAAATGTATTTTTTAAATATTTATAAAAACATAGATGGGATTTTTTTTAAGGCTGTGTCCATTAAAAATATAAATAAATTTATTAATTTTGAAGAAAAAAATAACAATTATTGTAAAAAAAATCAATTTTTCGTCATTTATAAAAGAAATTTACTTTTTAAAAAAGTAATAGAAATATCAGAATATACATCAAATTTAAAAACAGGGCAACCAATAGAAAGATTGAATTTCTTGATTTTGAAATTTATTTTTTGACATATTTTTATATATAAATATTAAAAATCATAATAATCAAGACTTGCTTAGATACCATTTATACGGACCGGCCCGGATTTAAATAAAAATAAATTCGGCCCGACCAAGCCCATTTTTAAAATATATATTTTTTTAAATTATATATAATAATGGCAATTTAAAATAATCGGCCCGGCCCGGAAATTAAAAAAAAATTTCGGGCATGTCCTGGATTTTTTTAACAAAAAATGTAGGCTCGGCCTTATGAAAACCATGAATCCTTCATATTAGTGTTAAATAAACAAATTTATGATAACTAAATATGAATTGAAAAGGAAAACATTGAATGATTGACTTTGGGATAAAAAAAATTTTTGGGAGTGCAAATTTTTATATTACAGTCATTTTATCTTATAAGAAAGTTAATTTTATAAATTTAATCTTCAGGTGTATCTGAAAAAAAAGTTTATTTTTCACATATTCTTATAAAAATACAATAAAAATCAAAAATTTTTCAAATCAAAAATAATTTGCCACATGATTATTTTTTTCTTTTAAAAAATCGAATTAGATTGATTTTAAATGTCAGTCCAGTCTAATTTTTTTCAAAAATCACCTATATCAGTGCCGATCTTATATAAGGGAAAGTCCTAAACTTCAAATTTTTTATTCAAATAATTTAGAATTTTATTTATACAAGCAATTTAGAATCTTTATATTTCATTGTAAAAAAATCCTTCATTTTTTTGAAAGGGCCCAATCTAAAGATGTATAATTTGATGACATATACTTCAATAATCCAATATCATAGACTTATCGCATCATTCCTCCATAAAATGACGTTTTTTGACCCACGATTCGTAGTTTAATCAAGAAAAGGAATTATTTTTTATATATCCCACTAATTTGATAAATTTATTAAAAATTAATATTAACATTTTGATTCCTTTTAAAGAGCTATACATAATTCTGCATGAATTTATTAATAATAACGCATAATTATCGAGAATGCATAGGAATTAGCTTTTTAATCATTAAAAAAGTGTTTTTTGATATTTTTTTCCAGTTTATTTTTAATTAAAAATATCATATTTTATGTCATCTTAATAAGCAAACACGATTCTATATTAATTTTAATAAATTTGAACTTCTATAATAGAGGATGCGTAATTGGGTCAAAAAAATTTCTTTAGGATATTTAAAAAAATTTTTCTAAATCCCCCCGAAGAAATAAACATGATTTTATATTTATATTTTAAATTAGAGCCTTTTTATGGATTTATATTTTAGTTACACCCAAAATAGTGATTTTTCGATAAAAATAAATGTATTTTGAATATTTTACCCGTTTTTAAAAAAAATTAAAAATATAATTTTGTAAATTATATTGTAAGCTAAACAATATTCTATAATAATTATATTAAAAGTACTCTTCTTTAATAGGGGATTTTTAGTTTAGTGACGAAAAAAAATGTTTTTTTAAAACTAATTTATCAGATTTAATTAAAATTTTAAAAAACAACATTTTCTGAATCATATTTAAGATAAACGAATAATTTTGTAAAAAACGTGCGTCTAATAAGGGATACTTAGTTTAGTAAAAAAAGAATAAATTGGTTCGATATTTTAGAAAAGTTAATATTGACATTTTCTTAATCCTCTTCTTAATAATTCTATATATATTATTTTTTTAATTAGAGCCATTTAATAGGGGATTAGTTTAGTCAAAAAAATAGTGTTTTTAAATACCAATAATTGAAAAATAATTTTTAAAATTAATTTCAATATTTTCTGAATCACATTAAAGAGTTAAACATGTTTACTTTTTTTTACAATAGCCCATTATTAGTGAGGATTCTTTTATATTTAGTTATGGGGAAAAAGTTTTTTAAAACTAATTTATCAGATTTTTTGAAAAATTAAGAATAAACATTTTCTAAATCATATTGATTAGCTAAACAATAATCCATATTATTTTTATTTAATATGTACCTTTTTCCGTTTTGGAGGTTCGAACTTCAAAGCGAATCGATATATTTTTTAAGAACAGAACCTGAACCGTTATTATTACTTGAATTAGAGGTCTTCAATGGGCTAATTTTTTTGCCCATCCAACCATCTAAGTGGGTAGGCGGGTTAAAAAATTTAATTATTGGTTAGTTATAAAAAATTTAAGTAATGGGCATGTGGGTTATTTTCAAAGATTTGTTATTTGAAATCATTTAATCAAAAATTAAAATAAATATGCTCCATAAAATTTCAATATTTTTAATACCAAAGTTCTGATAACTGAGGTTGTTATCAGAAGAAATTAATGAAGTAAAAAAAATATTTTATGTCTAGAAAATATTACAACATGGGTTTAAACCTTATTTTACCTATTTCAAAGAATTCAATTAAAGGGTATTAAATTATAAATGCAATATATGAAATAGATAACAACCACATCAAAATTAAACTACAACAGACGAGGATGAGGTTGCTACAGAGGAGACTAAAGGCACTGTACCTAATGGCATAGCAAAGAACTTAAATCTTAAAATGGTTTTGTATAATTTAGCAAATTACTTTTTTAAATTATTATTATTGGTTTTACTTTTTATTTAAAGATCTTACACAAGAGGATATACATCAAATGGATATCATACTTTGGTGGAAATGACAAGAAAAAGATTTACCAAATCTTCAATAGCTAGAATATTAACAATTCTTGCATTAGATGAAATGTTTTAGAATAAATAACATGTTTAACTTAGAAAATGTACATTCATTATTATTTTAGGATTAGAAAAATATTAACAATTCCAGCATTAGCTTAAATGTTTTTGACCAAAGAACATGTTTAACTTAGAAAATGTGGATTCATTATTATTTTGGGATTACAATTACGAATAATATCAATTGTATATTCATAAATATTTTAGTTGATCAAATAAATTCCTTATCCATATTTCAAATTGAATATTATTTTTTATGCTTAATATTAATTTCTTAAATTATAAAACTTTTTTTATGGGTGTAGCACTGAAACTCATGTTTTTATTATTATATGCCTAATTGAAAGAATGGGCATATTTAAATTTTATATGATCAGTATAGGTTAATTTTTTTTACAATGGGCAGGTGGGTATAAAAACATATGGATATACAGGAAAAGAATTTTAGACAAATGGATTTGTGTATATATTTTTCAAAACTAGGGGCAGGTTGGGTGGGTGGCTAAATTTTTATTAAACAATGGGGAGACAGGTTGTGAGGTAAAAACCATCCCATTGCAGACCTCTAATTTGAATCCCTTTAAGAATCTTGATGTATTTATTTAAAATTGATCGTATAAAATAATCTATTCTATAATACTATGTCATAAAACAAATAACTAAAATGATTAACATTTTATTTCATTTTTAATTATTAAAAAATCAGTTAATATTTTTTCTGCATTGATATATTCTTCTGACTGAGTATCTTTGTCAACATTTGACTAAATATATAAAATATATTATAGATAAGTTAAAGAAAAATACCATTATATTGTTCAAATCATCATAGGCATTAATAAAATTGTATTTAGATCGTGATATCATAGATACCGATTCTTGCAAAACTTCTTCCTATATTTTTACTTAAAATAAATTAAAAAATAATAAAAACTTGTTTTCTTATATCATACTCATCATCATTATTACTTTTCATAGTTTTTATTTTTTGCGATTGCTTTTCAATTTCATATTTATACATCTTGATATCATTTGCATATCTATCCAATAACTTAAATAATTTATTAGCTACTTATAAACCTCTTTACAACTCCTGATTTGATTTTTAATGTATTTAATGTTTTCGAATCAATTGGCATAATTTACGATAAGATTTGAAAATGACATATATTCATTTGAATGACATTAACTTAGAAAAATTTATAAAAAGAATTTGTTAATAAATATAGAAATAATTCTCAAGTTATTGATACAATCAACTCAAATGCGGTGTTTCTTAGAAAATATCTTAGTACAGTCAAAACCAGATATTTGCGAAGCTTTGGGACTAGTGTTATAAATTGGTTGGTTGTGTAAAACCCTGACTCGTGATTTAGACCCGGGGAACAGGTGAATAATGTTATTCCAATTCCAAATAAAAATTATTTACTGAAAGTATAGAAGCAGCAAAACGCAATGACGTTTTAGTAAAGCTCTGCAAGCAACATATCTTAAATTTTTTTTAATCGGGTTCACTTAGGGCTTAGAAATACCAAAAATAGGATTAAAATGAGTTATGTTGGATGCAATTATTTCCAGCTATACAACTTTTGCAACGATACGAAAAATCATTTTGTTTTTTAATAAAAGATAAATTAGATTTTTCTGGGATCAGGAATAAACTATTAGCTTATATTTAACTTACGTTTAAATATTTTCGAACTCAGGGTAAAAGGATGATGTTCTCTTAAAACAAAATTCTAAATTTTTAGCGATTTAGTATCTATCCCTAACATTTATTTTTTATATAGTAAACATAGTTTATAATCCTCTATTATATATAAATATTAGGTAAAATGTCACTTTTGCAGACGTATTTGACAGTTATATAAAATATTACAGTTAATATTTTTAAAATTTTACCAATCAATGCTTTTGATAATAAATGTATGTAACAATTTGCATTCAACTATTTAACGCCATCTATTTATTTAAAATATGATTATTATTAAACATCTTATTATTTATCCCACAATGGATGTTAGATATCTTTACTTCTCTTTTTTTACGTGTTTTTAGGAAAGCTATTTTTTTCTTCTTTGAAAAACAGTTTTGAGTTAAATTTTTAATACAAGTATATATAATTTCAAACTACTATTATTTTAAGATATAATATACCAACCAACAAGAGATGATGCGACAATATATAAAATTTTAATTGCTTTCATGATATCACTCTGGTTCTTATTTTATAGTTACAAAATGTTTCATTTCTACCTTGCCGTGTAAATAACTCAAGGCTTCAATATATTTGCATAATTTTTTCTAAAGATTTTTAGTGTTTTTGTTTCAATTTATCTAACATAATAAATTCTGATATGGGTTACCATCGTGAATGTTATGGCTGACTGTAAATTAACCAGCATCTATTATTTGTGTGGCTATGTAATTTAAGATTATTACTAACTGAGAGCACATGATTGCATATTTTAGATATGCAATAATGGTCAACTGTGTAGTCGTTTATATATCATTAAATATGGTAGATAATATTTTAGAAATTTAATATCTCACAATCGATTACTGATCTAGCTTCCATCATGTCATCTAAGATTAGTTCTAATTACCATATAATTTTATGATTTGGATTGGTCGTTTATATTCTCTTCTTCAAGAATTGTTAATTTGGTAAGGCCTATAAATTTTTTCTTATTAGTCCATTCTATAAAACATTGTCTAAAATGGTAACAGAGAGTTAGTTATATTAGTTTCATGACCTTTTGTCAATGTAAGTTGCTAAGAATTTGATAGCCTTATGTGGTTTTTAAAAACCTTGATCAATTGAGGCATATGAATGAATTAATTAACCTTTTTAATCACTTAGATGCAAAATTTTTTTATATCAAACATCGAAAATATTAATTTTAGATATGTCTTATATTGTTTTAATTATTTATATGTTAATTTTGTATGCAAAATATAATAAATGACAAAATATGAAATTCAGAATAATTGTTTAGTTAGCATATCTTAAAAAGTAAAATATATTAATATAAAATTCGACCGAAGACCGAGTAAAAGCGGACAAATTAGAGGTATGGGGGCTTCGCCCCCAAAATTTTTTTTTAGTTGAGCCCCCTATGATTGTATAGGCTAGCGACGCCCCTGAGTTGCAGGGAATAAAGTGAAAGATATGCTATATATCGATAATTTTGAGTTATTATATGGGCACGATGAATAAGCGCATTATCCATATTTATGAACGAATTCAACTGCTGATTGAATGCATGATAATTCATTCAGGCAAGTTTTAATTTTTATTGCTGCAAGTGCCCCGTCTATAATCGCGTATTTTGAGATATAAATTAAAAGTTTTTAGTTAAATTACAGAAAGTTTTTAAAAATAACAATGTTTTCTCAACATTTTCTTTCAAGTTTTTAAAAATGAATTACATCATATCATTACATTTATCCTGAAATCAATAATTATAAAAATTTCACATTCATTTTCGTATATTTCGTCGCAAATTCGCACTAACAGTGAAGGGGTTTAATAAAAAATATCATGTTTATTTTACCCGAGGACCATTTTAATTTAAAACCCTATCTCAGTCATATCTATTGATTTTTAGGGATTAACACCTTCCTTTTAGCCCTGAGTCTGAAAATATTTTAATTAAAATTGTCAAGAGTAAATTTATTACTTGTCCTTGTTTGAATCCCAGGAAATCTCTTTATAATGGCTGGAAATAATCGTTTGTTTAACCAACATAATAACTCATTTGAGTCCTATTTTTTGGTATTTTTAAACCCTATGTGAAACTGACTAAATTTTATTAACCCGAAGCTGAGTTGCTTGCAGGACTTTACTATCTAACCCCAGAAAACACCATTGCATTTTTCTGCTTCTTTACATTTGATAAATAATTTATATTTGAAATAATTTTTAGCCGATTTTCTTAAGATTAAATATAATTTTTTGTAATATAACCCAATTTTTGTGTTATCATTAATAATATATTATTCACATATATTCTATTTATTAAGGCTATCAAATTTGGCATCTTTAATACACATATTAAGTTTATTAAAATAAATTCAAAATGATTAAAAATATTTTTTTCAAATTTGAATCTATCTAATAAGGATATTACTATGTTGTTTTTTTTTAAATTTTTATAATTTGATAATCCAAAATATAATAATCAATTCATATGAAGTTTTTTTCCAAGTTTTAATGATTAATAATTTTAGAGAAACATTTAATAAATATATAAGAAAAATATTGTATTATCTTTACAATAATTACATCATTACAATACAACACTTAATAAAAAGTCTTAAATTCATTCTTATAAATAATTATAACAAAATTTTTACAATGTTTTTATTTTCTTATTTGGAAAATATTTTAATACTTAATTTATGAATTGCAAAATCAAATTATACACATGATATTTATTTTCCTTTTAAGATAATATTTTAATTTATGTTAGTAGAACCTGCTAAATTAATCAGAATCAATCACTGGCGAATAAATCAAATAAGTGAATAGTAGATAATATTTTACTTACTGAGAAGTGTATTTAATTTTTTATTTGAAAACTTTTTAATGTTTATTTATGAATTTTATTATTATATAATTCATTTAAAATACTTTGTTATATATGTTTAAATAAGTCTACCTAATGTTCTTGGTCCTAAAAATTAGCATATACATATTGTATAAAAATGTTATATCCATAAAATTATCAACATCTAATTTATTTAAAAAAAATAAACTTTATAAGATCGGCGCTCCCTCTTTCATTGCAGATTGTGTGAAATTTATATTTTGTCTTTTTCTCCTCTGTTTTCGGAAAGCTAATGTTTTTAGTAGTGATTTATTTGTAGCAATGTGATCACTTAGATTCAATAAATTAAATTTTTTAATAACAATCATATAATTACGTGATTAAGCGCCTAGCCTCAATAAAATGAAAAACTTATTACGTGATACGTGATATATTATATAGCGCATATGCCCTCTAACGTGGAGTATCAACAGAGCTACGCTAGGTTTTCCTCATTTCCATCTAATTGGAACAAAGTTAATTTGTGTATTAATTAAAAATAAAATATGAGGAGCCCTCCACACGTTTGTGGGCAAGCCGCACGTACTTGTACGCTCAACATACTTATTAGATTTCAAGTATTTAGGATTGATGTAAATTCAAAAAAACTTTTTAATTATTACCCTATAATATTAAATGGTTCTATATAATAATAATATTAATTGTCTTCTTCTCACAATCTTCTAAATATATTAGTTAATAAATAATACAAGGTTAACTTACATTCTCAGTCAATTAATATAAAATTGAATTTGTGAATAATCTAAATTAATTATTTATAAAAGTTTTCAACAAATGATTCTCAAATATAACTAAATATTTTAATATTATTAAAATTTTCTCTAAATAATTTGAAGTGAGCAGATATCGTTAAGCTTTTTCCAATCCGTTGTTTAACGTTTTTGCCATTGTTGTTGTTGAATAGGTCTTTCGTTTGTTTTAATCGTTTTTTGATCTACGTATGTTTGTCAAATCGTTTTTAATTTAGCGCAAACTCGTTATCCTTATCGTATCTTGTTTCCTCGTTATGTTTCAAAATTGTTATTAACAATTAATTTAGTAAGATCGTCTGTTGTACAGTTGATAGTATGGAAAATATTCTTGTATAAAAACACGAAATGGTAAAAAATTATTAATGAGTTAATTTATTAATAGTATAAGTTGTCTGTTAATTTTGGAAAATTAAATTAAGGTATAAATGATATTAAGTTGAGGTTGTTAAGTGATGGTAATGTATAGTGCCAAAGTTAAAGTTGGTTTAAGGTTTTATTGAATTAAAATTGTTTATAAAAAGGGAGAAGAGTAATAAGAGAAGATTCCAAAGTTGTTAAAGTTGGTTTAAGGTTTTAAATTATAATTGTTTATAAAAAAGGAGAAGGGAAGAAAAAGTTAAATTGGTTTAAGATTTTAAATTATAATTGTTTGAAGGAAAAAAAGAAAAGAGTAAAAAGACAAAATTTTATTAATTATTTAAGTGTTATATGGGTTATTTATGTAAGCAAGGAATCTCAGATGGCCATCAGACGAAGTTGGGTATTTGAGGACCGAGATAAATTTAATAAGACGACCAAGACAGACACCAGACAGTTGAAAGCGGTCAAGAACGCCCCTAGATGAGTGCCAGTGGTGCTACCATTGCAGAGGAGGGGGCAGGTAGTCAGTAATTGTCTACAAAGGAAGGGGTGAGAAATGATGAGCTATCAAGGTGGGAGTATCGGCAAGATGACCAGTCGGGAGTACGGGAGCTGATCATACAACAGGAGTCAGCAAGCAATACCGCCGGAGAGGAAAATTGGGCTGAGACATCGAAAAGAGAAGAAGTAGAGGCCAGTGAAGGGAAGTCATTTTGGAATAGCAGGAAAAAAGAGACTCGAAGGAAGGGATCGTTGAGGGCGCCAGGGATGACCCCACGCCATTCAGACTGGGACGAGATGGGAGAATGTGGTAGATTACAGACTGAGGAAGCGGACGAGAAATTAATGTCGACCTACTTGAGAGATGAGCTAGGGGATTTATTGGACTATTTAATATCAGATTCGGAGCTTGAATTTGTACTGAGTAAGGGAACGAGCTTAGATGAATGAGTTGTGATGTCTATCCACAGAGCCGAGTAATAGATGTAATTGTGTTTCTTTAAATAATTTATTCGAATATGGTTTATTTGGTTATTATTAATTAAAATATGTTTATTATAAATAGAATATAGCAGGAACGAGAACCCGAACCCATACCCTTTTTTAAAATTTAGGGTTCAGGGTTCAAGTTTTTTCTTTTAATTTTAAAAAATTTATTTTTTTTATTTTAAACTTTCATTTTATTTATTTTAAATTTTATGTTAAAATAATATAATATAAAAAACACCTATTTAAAAAGAGTTCTTGTTCAAAACAATTATTATTTTATTCAAAAAAAATTTTAATTTAAAAAAAACATTTTTAGGTCATTTTTTGATGTAATTATTTTTGTTATATTTAATAATTTTTTAAATTGTATTGTAGTATATTATATATAATATATTATAATTATGATGATAATTATTTTTATGGCGATACTGATTAAAATAAATTTTAAAAAAAATGATTTTTCTATTATTTTAACTAATTTTATAAGTGATTATTTTTCAGCTCTTCGAACCCTGAACCCACCTGAACCCGAACCGGGTTCCAAGATTTTTTACTGAACCCAAACCCGAACCCATTTTTTTAGGAGGGTTCTCGTCCCTGGAATATAGGACCTAATAAAATATAGATCCGTTTATAATATTAATACATTTAAAATAATGTTGACATATCTGTTCTTCATCAAGATTATCGTGGTTTTTATATCGTATGCGTGCATATCATCTCGTTTTTCATCACAAGCGTTCACTAAACCCTTTTTCAATTATGATAATAAAAAATTTTAATTCCATCCATATAATTGTTAGTTGGGTTGATATATTTAAAGAATGTATATTGGGATAGATGATTGTTTTTTTAAATAGATTTTTAATCGCGAAATTTATATTAGTGGAAATTAAAAATAAAAAACTGTGTTTCGTCTTATTCTATCTTAGTAAGTAACAAGACATTTGATAATAAGTGGTGCCGTTCTCTTCCAGGAAAAGAAACCTTTTTAAGAATCATGGCATAATGACAAAAATTTAGGACCATTAAATATTAAAAAGACGATTCAAAATAGAAGTTTTTTTACATTTTGTTGGGAATTCAATGTATTGTTTGATAATAATTTTGTTAGTGATTACATTGTGTTATTTTATTTCGTAAAATCGTGAAATACTAATCAGTTTATTGTAAATCATATAAGAATTAATTTTGAGTAAAAAGAATCTTTTTATAAAGGTAAAATTCTAAAATGCTTAATAAAAGAGTAAAAAAACGTGTAACTATTTTGAAATAATAAGTCTTTCTTAATTAGGTATTTACTTTGAGTAGCAATAATAATAATTGTTAATTAGATAATTTTTTGAATATAAAATTTTTTTATTTATTTATAACAATAATTTTCTATGTAGTAGGTCATATTCTCTCTTTTGAACTTGACTTTGAATTTTTGAATTTTGAACTTGATTATGAATTTTCGAATTTTGTTGAACTTGTTCACTTATTCCTCCTCCAAAAATTTTTTCTCCTTTGTAGTAGAATTTTCATTTAATATTTTGTTCGTTGTTTAGCCTGAGTCATATCTTTTTCATTGATTATGTTCGTAGCTTGTTATCCTTATCGTCTAATCACTTGAACATCATCCTCACATTAGCTTGTTCATCTCGTTATTTATTATCATTTTTATCAATGTTTGTAAATATATATTATGATCAATATATCTCAAATAAAATAATTTTGGAATAATTGAAATGATAATAGAATAAATAATTTATCAGAATCATTCATAAGAATCATAATTTGGAATATAGAATAATTGGAAATGTCTTTTTTATATAATAATTTTTTTTATTTAATTATTTTTATTTTTAAATTTTACTCCTTTATTTTTCAATTTAAACAATTTTTTTTATATCATAATTTATCTTCAACTTGTTCTTTATAAAAAAAATTATCTTTCTCCTTCCATCTTCAACATACGATCACCATATCATACTCTTAAAAACTTTTTCAACATCAAGATATTTAATCACCTTCGTATAATAATTATAGTTATTGATTCATGTAATGTATATGAAAAATCTCTCTTGTTATTGTCAAAAATTCTTTTTATAATTGTTTCAATTGGTAATGTAATGATTAACAAGTACGCTGCCATCATTTTAGATTAACGGAAGGCACGGAAAGAATATAAAAATTTAATTTTATTTTTTATTATTACTAATACTAAAAATTTTACAATTTTATATATATATATATATACAATTTTAATTTACACTTTTTAAATAAGTTTTTTTAAAAGGTTAAATTTTGACAACTTCGTCCTTAAAAAGTAAAATAAAATTTACGAAAATTTCATTAGGAAAATATAAAGTTTAAAGGTCATTAAATTACAAAAGTAAAAGAAATATAAAATTTTTTATATTCAAAAAATTATCTAATTAACAATAATATTATGGGTTATAGTTTATTTTGGTATAGAAAAAGAAGTGGAAATAAGGATGTAAGTAAAATAAGAATATTAAAACAAATGGAAGTAGAAAAAATGAAAAATTTGGTAAATTTTTTAAATGGAGAAATTCTTTAATGAAGTGTGTAATATAAAAAATAATCAAAAAAAATAGATTTTACAGATTCTGAAAAAGAAAAAGATGAAATTGATAAGGATAATAAAAATATGGGATTTTAAAATGTTGAAGTTGAAATAATAAATATGATATGGTGTATGGTAATAGAGGAAATAGAAAATATTAAGAAAAAGAAAAGAGAAAGAAAAAATGGAAATGCATAAAAAAGTCGAAGAAAATTGCAAGAGACAAATCAATGATATAACCTAAATAATTATAAAAATCAAGATAAAAGGGTTGTTCAATTAGAACGGGGTCAAATGAAAGGTGTTTTACAGGTGGAAAATATGGCCATATAAGCAGGAATTTTAATGAAAGAATAGGCCTAAGGGCGTTACCAGCGGTGTGTAAAGGATGTGGGAATAAGAGGCATAATGTAGAGTTACACATAGAAAATGCGGAAAATCGGGGAAGAGTGAGTAAATGTTTACAGAATAACAGAGTATTTCCAGCAGTGGAATATTTAGCTTCAGTTGCATATAGTAAAATGAAAGGGAAGTACCGAAAAAGAGTTTCTATGAAAGAAATCATGTTGGGAATATTACATGCTTCAAATGTCGAGATGTTGGGCATTTTGCCAAGTATTGTATAGTGGGGTGATTGTATGATGGAAAAGGGGTTATATTAGGGAATTTCATTTGATTCTCAGGGGCAGATAAATAATATTATAAAGACTAATATGGAAAGGGAAAAGATTAGGGGTTTAATATATAAAGTTAGTGAAACTGCATAAAAGAAATAAATGTGAGAAGTGGTATGATGTCAGATGGAAAAGTGGTAAATAATATTATGGAACAGGATAAAAAATCAGATGCGTTGTTAAAAAATTATTTAGAAGAAATAGATATTTTGAATGATGTGAGTCATAATTTGATGGTGGAAAATAATGTGGATTTTGATTCAAGTCCAAGGGTAATACCGTGGAAAATAAAGAGATTGCGATGCTAGATACGAGAGCGACAATTTCAGTCATGAGTTATAAATTGGTGAAAAAGTTGTGGCTAAATGAGTGTATAAAAAGAAAAAAATGGCGATCAAACAATTTGATTGATCTGATATGATAGTTTTAGGAAGAGTCAATCAACCAGTGATTGTATGATATAAAAGATTGATATAATGAGAAAGAGAACAAACGAAAATTAAATATACCGCTAAATATGTTAATAAGTCTAACCCTGCATTCTAGCGGCGAAATAACAGCTGATCTATCGAAGCGAATTTGCATTCATAGTTATAGCGTGAATTACTTGGCGATTTGCTATGAACTAACTGCTGACAGATTGCAATTTATTTCGTTTACATTTTTTCAATATGGTTTCTTCAACTCTAAAATTATTACTTTTCAGCGAGAAATGATCTTTCCAAAATTCTTATTAAATGATAAATTTTATAATTACACGAATGACAAAAATATTTATATTTTCTATCTATATTTATTTTTATTTTACATAATTAATACATATTTCAGCATGTTAAACCATTTTTATATATTAGACCCAGGGATTTCATTAAAATTGCTATGACCATATAAAAAAACTTATGGTTGTATTAGGTAACATTAATTTACATTAGTAATTAAACAAATTAATTATCTAGATATCAAGCTAAATTTATCTTATTTATTCAAAATAGGTTCGACATTCCATAGAATTATTGTAAATAGATGTAAAGCAATATGGGGTCATTAGTAAGTATCCATATGCACTTCCTTTAAATAAGTAAAATAAGTAAAGTAAGTAAAAGTATCTTTAATACAAAATATCACGTATATATATATATAATGAATTCTATCCTTCAGGTTATGTAATTTACAAACGAAAAGTTAATATTATATTCAATAAAATATAAATTCAATTTACAATTACATTTATATCAGTTCTCCGCACTATAAATTGAATTCATCGTGATAACGTAGTGGGGGTTTCGAAACTCTTTTTTCAAGAGTTGTATTCTCATGTTCTGCCTTTTCCACTTCTTCGGTCAACGTAACGGGTATTTCCTTCTCTTGTGTATGTGCATCCCTCAATTGATCTGCATGCTTGTTTTTAACGATCCCCTCTGATTCCACATCGTACAATATTGCGCTTTTTCGTTGTAACACTTTTCCTTCATGCCACCCTGCTGTCCTTTCGTTTGCTATCCAAACTTTTTGCTGCTCTTCAAACTCCCGAGGTTCAACATTTCTATCTTTGTAGTACTTTTGTTTCCATAGAGCGTTTTCCGTCCTTTCTCTCGTTGATAATTTCCACTGATCTAATGTCGTCCTAAGCGATCTTCCAAACATCATCTCGGCAGGGGATTTACCAGTAGTTGCATTGGGAGTATTACGGTGAGTAATTAAAACATTCGCTAAATTTAACTGGTCCGGAGTCCCACATCTCCTTCCAGCATAGAAACGCGTCTTTATCGTCCGTATATATCGTTCAGCCAAACCATTCGATTTGGGGCTATAAGGGGCCGATCTAAAATGTTTTATATTGTTTTTAAAAAGAAACGTTTTGAATTCAGATCCAGTAAACTGAGCACCGTTATCTGAGACAATGTAGCGAGGTAACCCAAATCTAGCGAAATAATTACGCAGATTATTTATTACACTCGCCGAATTAATATGTGTTAAAATTGCAACTTCAACCCATTTGGTAAAAGCGTCTACGCAAATTAACCAATACTTATCTTAAAGAAATCCGGTGCCGTACGGATATGCGGAGATTTTCGTTTAACAATCAACAAATATCTAGCGATCGATAACGATTTACTACCAACTTTCGTCGACCTAACAAATAAGATCGCGGGTGGTAAAATATTTTCAACAATAGATTTAAGAGATGTATTTACAATTCGGAGTTAGTCCAGAATGTAGGGACCTTTTAGTAATTTCGACACATGTCGGTTATTACCGATACCAAAGAATTCCATTTGGTTTGACTAGCGCTCCGATAATATTCCAACGCTTTATGAAAAACCTATTAAAGGGAATTCCTATGGTTAGTGTATTTTTAGACGACATAATTATTGCAGGTGAGAATAATTCCGATCACATAGTTAATTTGGAAGAAGTATTAAGAAGATTTGAAAAGGCTGGACTGACCACGACGACCGATAAAATTAAAATAGGAGAAAAGTCAGTCACTTATTTAGGTCATGT